AAGACAGTGACCAAGCCATTTGTCTCATGCCATCCCTCTCTAGCCTTCCACAAACTTTGGGCAGGGACACCACTCCTACCCTCTGGCTAATAGGACTCCATGGACCCAACCTCCATGACTTGATCTCACTTCCCTTTAAACTCTGTTCTAGTTGTAGCCTTCACAGCCTCCTGCAGCAAGGAGTTCCACAGGTTGACTCTTTGCTTTGTGAAGAACAACTTTCTGTTATTAGTTTGAAGCCTGCTACCCATTCCTTTCCTTTGGTGTCCTCTAGTCCTTCTTTATGGGAACTAATGAAGAACTTTTCTGTATGCACCCTCTCCACCCCACTCATGCTTTTATAGACCTCTATCCTATTCCCCCTCAGTCTCCTCTTTTCTAAATTGAAAAGTCCCAGTCTCTTTAGCCTCTCTTCATATGGGACCTGTTCCAAACCTCTGATCATTTTAGTTGCCCTCCCCTCTCCCACCCTCTCTCTTCCCCTCTCCCACCTCCTTTTCCCAGTCTCCCCGAGTTTTGTTCAATAAAGAGAGATTCTATTTTTGACCACGTTTTCTTTATTTTGTACATCAGGAAGGGGGTCTAGGGAAGGGTAAGTGGAAGGAGGTGAGGGAGGAATGGGGCACGAGCCCCTGATGGGGAGGACTGGGCTGGCTCTGCTGGCTTCTGGGGGTGGAAGCTCCTCTCCTGCAGCCCCCCAATTGCCCCCTCTCCCCAGATGGCAGCCTGCGGCAAGTGCAGCCGGTCTGGTGGCCGAGTGCTGTGATGTGCCCAGTGTGGGTACTCTGGGCAATCCAAGCCAGGACTGCTTTGCAAGCGGGGCACCCCTGAGAACTGTCTGTCTGGGGAGGGGGTCGGGTCCCTTTAAGCACAGCCCTCGGCTAGCCTGAGGCAGCAGCTCCACGCTCTAAGTCCTCATCTGATGCCCTGCCGGCACTGCTTCCGGCCATCCTTAACCCCGGTTCAGGGTCCACTTAATGTGGACATGCTAGTTCGAATTAGCAAAACGCTAATTCGAACTAGTTTTTTAGTCTGGATCCATTAGTTCGAATTAGCTTAGTTCGAATTAACTAATTCAAACTAAGTTAGTTCGAATTAGCGCTGTAGTGTAGACATACCCTTAGAAAGCATGTGGCTGGTCCTTGTGTTCCTGCTGTCTTCGGAAACGGTATAATCCCCTCCCACACTGTTTGCCATCAACTCTGTAATTGACCTGCTTTGGTCCCCTTTGATGTTCCTTGATTGTTATTCCTTGGAAATTTGGTTTAGAGGTGACAAGAGTTGTTAGTCACCCATTCACACATAACTGACCACTAATAGAAGTGGGTCTGGCCCACGAAAGCTCATCATCTAATAAACCATCTTGTTAGTCTTTAAAGTGCTACATAGTCCTGCATTTTGCTTGACCACTAATAGTCTTTCTTATCCCACATTTAGATAGCAAGTGTAAATAGTTACCTCCATGAATGAGACCAGCACTAATGTTACCATTGTCAACCCCTGGGTCCACTTTGCCAATTACTGTGACTTAGAAAAACCGCAGGGAATTATTTGTTATTGCCTGGTGATATGTTTGTTTTTTATTTTAATGATTATTTGGCGTCCACATATGTAATTGTAATTAGTTGTAATTGACTATAATTGACTGTAAATCATATTCAGGTGAACTCTCCCAAAAGTTAAAGGAGTGCCAGTGTTTGTAATAATAAAAACCAGGATTTCTCTTTAGTTTTGAGTCATGGTCTCATCCTTCCAGCATCCCCTTCGAGCCTAGCATTTTAGTGGGGCTGGACAAAGGAGAGGACAGTGGAGTGGGAGGAGAGGACATTGTGAACAGAACTGCAAGTGAAGCAAAAGAGAATGTCTTTGTATGCCCGATGGCTGTGAGGAAGTGCATGGTGGTGTGCCTGATAAGGTTCCCCTTCGACACTTTTCAGAACAAATTTCCCTCCTCACCCAGTTCCATAGACTCCACTCCTGAAGGCCCTAGGACACGTGGGAGAACTCATGGGCAGGCTCACACACAGCCTTCAGATTGTTGCAAGGGAAAAGTCTGTCCTCACATTTCTGATTCCTCCCATACACACCTTTTGGTCCCACGATGGACTCCTTTTCTGTTTCTGCTGTCTTCCCTAAATGAAAATATATGCTCTCTGTTTCTTTATTGCTTGTACTGCAGGTGTGGGATGACGGATTAGAGCAGGGGTCGGCAACCTTTTCAAACGAAAGAGCCAAACTACATCAAAATTCAGAACAAGTGGTCAACAGAGCTGTATAAGAATGCCCATTTCTATGACTGAAAATATACAACTTATTATTGATGATTGACATAATGATTAATAACAGTATTAATGAAACCTACTCAAAGACTATTTAATGGGACTTCTGCTGCTGTATCTCTTCACACATTTCTTTGAAGTTTACATCATAACTGGTCAAATTCAGTTTCATGCACGCATTCAGCCTTTCTTCTGTCAATCTTAGGGCTCATCTAGACTACGCTAAAGTGTCGAATGAGGATATGCAAATTCCGCAGGAAAGTGGTTTGGACACAGGTTTTTTGGTGACCCCCACTCTTTTTTGAAAAGCCGCATAAACCTCATTTTTTGAGGAAGAGCTTCTTTTCGAAAAAGGGGGGGGGGCACAGAAAAAGCCACATCCAAACTACTTACACCTTCAATCGGAAGAATATATGCAAATTCCCGTGGAATCTTCATATCCTCTTTTGACACTTTAGCATAATCTAGATGAGCCCTTAGGTTGGGGGCTAGGAATGTGGGGGTTAAGGAGTTTGGGTTGGAGTGTATGAGAGGCTCAGGGCAGGGGGGCTGGGTGTATGATGTACACAAGGGTGAGTTGTGGAGGTGGTGCAGGAGTGTTATAGCAGGGAGGTGGAGGGGTGAGGGGCTCAGGGTTGCAGTGTGTGTGGGGTGCAGGATTGTAATGATCCTGTAGCCAGATGGGGGCTGGGCCCCAACTGGGTGTTTATTGGCCAGGCTTCATTTTTAAATAAAGTAACATATTATGGACAACACAAAAGGTTTTAACATTGTCTTTATTTATCGCAGGGGTGGGGAACCTTTCTTTTTCATCGGGGCCGCTGCCCCACAGAAAAGTCAGTCGGGGACCACACGAGTGAGAAGCAAAAAAACAACCTCGCCAAAAACCCCCAGCCCTCACTAATGTGGCCCCGAACTGAGACGCCTTACTCCCCTAGTACTCCAGCCCCATGGGAGAGGGGAAAGGGCAGGGAGGACTGAGGTTCAAGGCCTCAGTCCAGATTAACTCTGTTGGGGTTCCAGGGTTGGTGGTTTTTTTGGCTCCTCTCAGGCTCTGGGGTGGGGACGAAAATAAGGGGTCTTGTGAATAAGACAGAGCTGCCAGAGAGTAGGATAGGGATTGGGGTGAGAGGTAGGATGCAGGAGCAAGCTGGGGTAGGCGTCTGGTGAAGTGGCAGGAGCAGAATGTGGGTGGGTATCTGGCCAAGGGGAGGTGGTAGGAGCAGGCTGTGTCTAGACTGCATCCCTTTTCCGTAAAAGGGATGCAAATTAGACACATCGAAACTGCAAATGAAGTGGGGATTTAAATCCCTCCCGCTTCATTTGCATAAAAATGGCTGCTGCTTTTTTCCGGCTCGGAGCTTTGCTGTGGATCAAGACTGTGCGAGACAGGCAGAGCAGGGCCCCCAGCCAGATCACTCAGAAGCTGATACAGAATTTAGATCCAGGCATGAGAACACTTTCAGTGTGGGTAGAGGTTTTTTATAGGACAGAGGTGGTGAACCATTTTTGGATCAGAGGCCACTGGCCCACAGAAAAATCAGTTGAGGATCATATAAAAGTGAGAAGCAAAAAACAACACACACACACACACACACACACGCACGCACGCACACACAAAACCCTCAGTGATGTGGCTCCCAATTGAAACACTTCACTCCCCTCATGCTCCAGCCTCAGGAGGGTGGGAGGGGAGCACTGAGGAACTTCAGGGCTTTCCCCAGTCCAGATTAACTCCCTGGGGGCATGGACTAGTAGATTTTGTGCCCCTCTTATGCTCTGGGGTGTGGCCAAAAATGAGGGGTTCAGTGTGTGGGAGGGTGCAGGAGTGGGCTATGGGTGGGTGTGCAGGGTCTGGGCAGGAGGTAGGGTGCAGGATGGATCTGGGGGTACATGTGGGATCTGAGAGAGAGATAAGGTGCAGATGTGGGGTGGGGTGAGGGAAGGAGGGTGGATGCAGGAGCAGAGTGGGGGTGGGGGATATGCCTTGGAGGTACAGTGCAGGAATGACAGGAGCAGGCTGGAGGTGCAGTGTTTTGGCCTAGGGGAGAGGGATGTGCAGGGTCTGGGCGGCACTTGCTTGCTTTTTGCAGGAGCAGCATCCCACTCCCATCGCCTCCCCAGCTCGGCCAGTAGCTGCTGGTCTCCAGGAATGAAAACCTCTCGGGCAGGATCGGCAGGCAGCGCTGGAAGAAACACACGTGCTGCTCCTAGTCCCCAAAGCTTGGATCCTCCATCACCATCTTAGCCACCTTCCCCACCCAGTCTCTGTGCACTCAACGTGCATCACTACCACATCTGACAGCCAGCTGCGGTTTCTCAGATGATCAGGCAGCGGGGAGGCTGCTCAGCTCCCATGTCCCATCTCCCTGGAGCATGGGAGAAGGTAGTGTGAATAAGGAAGCACTTGCGTTGCTGGGGGCGAGGAGGGCGGAGCAGCATGCATGCGTGCTTCCCCACAAGCCAGATCCAGCACAGAGCATTGGGGCTTTCCCTGCACCTGCAGGAATCCAGTGCTGGCTCCAATCTCGCAGGCGGTGCAATGCTGGATCTCCAGCACGAGCTCCCATTGCGGGAGGGGGAGCGAGGGGGGATGAGCTCAGGCCATATTTGGTTGCCAACCCGCTGCCCTAGAGAATGCCTCATGAGATATTAGAGAGATATTAGCTAACAAGAGATATTAGAGTGCACTGTAAGTCGAAATAAAAGATATGCAATTTGAGCCATGCAAATTGCATATCTTATTTCAATGTTATTTCAAAATAGCTTATTTTGAAATTTGGCACTGTCTACACAGCACTTATCTTGAAATAACCTGCTATTCCAAAACATCCCTTACTCCTTGTAGGGGTAAACTGAGGCATGGTATTTTGCTAAGAACCCCTAAGCTTTCCTAAATTCGGGGTAGGCCTGGGAATGCACAGCAGAAGCAATTAACATGACCCTGGTCACCCTGGCAACCACATTCCAAGAGGGCCTCACTCTGATAAGACTCAGGCTGGTACCAAAACAACCTTTGTGGAAACTGTTCTCACTGTCTTCCTTTACCCGTAGATAATAAGCCTGGAACCCAAGGACTACGCCAACGCAAGGCAGTATCACCCCACAGTAGATGCATCATAATTTCAGCAGACAAAGTTACCAATAACATGTCTGTTTTGTTTATGTTGGCTTATTTAACTTGTTAAGAATAACTAACTATATGTATTATTGATGTTTAATTGGCAATGGGCAGAGATGCTGTGTAACCTTTGTAGTTTATTGGCTTATGTGCTCATTATGTCTTGCCGCCAGACCCTATCAAATTGCTTCTACTCTGCCCATCTGCTGCCTATTGTAATGTTTTGATTAACTAGTGTTCACCAGGTTAACCCCTGGGTGTCACTCCCCCAGCATTGAGTGTTTAATAAACCCTCTGACTTGTTTTCACCTGCATCCAGAGTGTCCAGAAATTATTCCCTTGTGGAATGAGATTTACAAGGAGGTCAGAATAGTGAGCCAGTTATATTTTGAAATAATGGGCGCACTCCAAAGACGCAGAATAGCTATTTCAGGATATTGGAGGAATCCCAATATAGTGCTGGAGTTTAGACATAGCTTTAGTCACTCACAACTAACTTCTACCACTTACCTTCTCTTGACAGAAGTTCCCAGTTGAAAAATGGAAGTGTGGAAGGCAGTGGAGGAAGTGTCTGGCACCTTCTCAGATTTATTTGTGCAGCTGAACCTCATTAGCAATGTAGACAGACAATTCACTGTCCTATGAGAAGTGACTGATTTCAATTCAAGACGGTCTTAGTTGGCCAGACAGTTTGAAAAAATTGTGTCATTCTTGGCTTCAAGGACCACATACTAGGGTGTCTCTGTAAGAAAAGCACAACAGCTTTGCTTATGGCTGTGGAAAAAGGCAACCGCATTCTGGGTACAAGGAGTTAAAGAAGTAACTTCAAGACCTACATTTGGCTTCTGTGAATGTGGGGACAATAATTGGGTAATCAAGAAGAAAAAAGATGCTGAAAAGTAGTAAACTGCCCATTGCCTGTAAATAAGAGACAAAATGGAAGCAAGGTCAAAAATCCATGGACACCAGGGAAGGTTACCAAATATTGCATTATGGCTCAATAGCAAGTCATGAAATAGCAATAATATTCGCAGAAATATTACAGGATAAATGTATGGTGAGCCACTGAAAAGAGTGACCAGCTGATTAATGTTAGGAGTAAAGAACAAATATTTAATGTTCTATGTGCATATGTACCCCAACGCTAAGTGAAGTACCATTAGCTGAGTAGTTAATTATCGGAGTAAATTCCAATGAACTTTTGTCAGTGGATGAGGCTTTGGCACTTGAAAAGAAGCTGGTAGGATATTTTAGAAGTCTCAGAGTAATAGCCGTGTTAGTCTGTAACTTTAAAAAACTGAGTTGGCCAGTAGGACATGGTAATTCATGAGCATACCTTAGCATGATCTAATTTTTCCTAACACATATTTTGTAGAGAAGGATCTGCACTTAATCATAGACCAAAGCAGTGCTAACAGATTCTGGATCAATTACACCATGTTACCAGATTTGCCCATTACTTTGATATATGCTCATTTATTACGGTTAGTCTTCTGAGGGAATGTACTGCTTGTGTCACTTGTGTTCTTATGTGGACCTCTGCTTCTCCCTTCTGCCAGTTCCCTCCCAATGGAGCTGTCCTGCAGGCTCTGTGTTCCCCTGGGCTGGGTTCTTCTCACCCAACAATTAGCAGAACACACAAGTACGACCAGAGCATGTCAGAGAGGACAGGTTAATCAGCACTCACAAGCTGACTCCTTATATGTCACAATTAGCAGAACACACACCTACGACCAGAGCATGTCAGAGAGGACGGGTTAATCAGCACTCACAAGCTGACTCCTTATATGTCCCTGGACTCAGTATCTGGGTTGGACAGCAAAGCCCAGCTGTGACCCTCACGTGCTCTTGGACTCAGTGGGCTGGGTTTAAAAAGCACTCTGGGTTGGACAGCAAAGCCAAGCTGTGACCCTCATGTGCTCTTGGACTCAGTGGGCTGGGTTTAAAAAGCACTTTCAGCTGCCACCTTCATACACTTATCTCCATTTTCATGACACAACTGTTCTGCTGTTCTGCCACTTGATGAACAAACCCCACAGGATTTTTGGGCACTACATGGATCATTAGCTTAGGCACAAGGAACTTTGTTGCAGAGTGAATGGAAAAGCCAAAAACAACACCCTCTGGGGAGGAGGAGAGAAAGTTAAACAGCTTAACCACAAACGTCATTTATTTCCAGGCAGTAACCATACAAAAGAAGCCAAAGAAATAAAACTGTTGCAATAATAAATCTAACTTAAAATCTGTTTATAAAAGTCAGGACTAGCAAATCATAACATATCACACAGAGTAGGGAAAAGAGGCTATACTGAGAGGCTGTGTCTAGACTGCATCCCTTTTCCATAAAAGGGATGCAAATTAGACACATCGAAACTGCAAATGAAGCGGGGATTTAAATCCCTCCCGCTTCATTTGCATAAAAATGGCTGCTGCTTTTTTCCGGCTCGGAACTTTGCCGGAAAAAAGCACCAGTCCAGATGCGGATCTTTCAGAAAATAAAGCCTTTTCCGAAAGATCCCTTATTCCTTTTTTTAAGATGAAGCGGGGGGGTTTAAATCCCCGCTTCATTTGCAATTGCGATGTGTCTAATTTGCATCCCTTTTACGGAAAAGGGATGCAGTCTAGACACAGCCAGAGAGAGAGAGAGAGAGAGAGAGAGACCTCACCACTCTGTAAAGCTTGAATCCATCTGGGCTTCCAGGGGGTGATGGTTGCTGTGTATCAAGACTGTGCGAGACAGGCAGAGCAGGGCCCCCAGCCAGATCACTCAGGAGCTGATACAGAATTTAGATCCAGGCATGAGAACACTTTCAGTGTGGGTAGAGGTTTTTTATAGGACAAAGGTGGTGAACCATTTTTGGATCAGGGGCCACTGGCCCACAGAAAAATCAGTTGAGGATCATATAAAAGTGAGAAGCAAAAAACAACACACACACACACACACACACACGCACGCACGCACACACAAAACCCTCAGTGATGTGGCTCCCAATTGAAACACTTCACTCCCCTCATGCTCCAGCCTCAGGAGGGTGGGAGGGGAGCACTGAGGAACTTCAGGGCTTTCCCCAGTCCAGATTAACTCCCTGGGGGCATGGACTAGTAGATTTTGTGCCCCTCTCATGCTATGGGGTGTGGCCAAAAATGAGGGGTTCAGTGTGTGGGAGGGTGCAGGAGTGGGCTATGGATGGGTGTGCAGGGTCTGGGCAGGAGGTAGGGTGCAGGATGGATCTGGGGGTACATGTGGGATCTGAGAGAGAGATAAGGTGCAGATGTGGGGTGGGGTGAGGGAAGGAGGGTGGATGCAGGAGCAGAGTGGGGGTGGGGGATATGCCTTGGAGGTACAGTGCAGGAATGGGCTGGGGATGGAGGGATCTGGGTGAAAGTAAGGGTATGTCTAGACTGCATCCCTCTGTCAGCAGAGGGATGCAGATTAGGCAGGTCGACATTGCAAATGAGGCAGGGATTTAAAAATCCCGCACCTAATTTGCATAAAAATGGCCACCACATTTTGCCAACTCAGCACTTTGTCGGCAAAAAGCAGCAGTCTAGAGGGGGATCTGTCGATAAAGAACGTCTTTTTTGACAGATCCCTTATGCCTCTAGGTTTACAGGATCTGTCAAAAGAGGCTTTCTTTCTCGACAGATCCCCCTCTAGACTGCTTCTTTTTGCGGACAAAGCGCTGAGTCGGCAAAACGCGATGGCCATTTTTATGCAGATTAGGCGCAAGGTATTTAAATCCCTGCCTCATTTGCAATGTCAACCTGCCTAATCTGCATCCTTCTGCCGACAGAGGGATGGAGTCTAGACATACCCAGTAGATGCATCTACACAGCACCCTAAACGTGGACTAAAATACCCAATTTTGAATCTATTTCTAAATCTATATTGAAATCGCTTATTTTAGAATCATAGAATCATAGAATCCTAGAGCTGGCAGAGACCTCAGGAGTCATCGAGTCCAGCCCCCTGCCCAAAGCAGGACCAATCTCAACTCAATCATCCCAGCCAGGGCTTGGTCAAGCCGGGACTTCAACACCTCTAGGGATGGAGATTCCTCCCCCTCCCTAGGGAACCCATCCCAGTGCTTCACCGCCCTCCCAGGAAAACAGTTTTTCCTAATATCCAACGGCCATTGGTCACATCGGGCCCATGGGCTGTAGGTTCCCCACTCATTGTGGGGAAACAACAATGGTTCAAGGGGGAATACTAGATTTGTTTATGTGTAAACTGATGATTCAAGGGAGTATTCAAAGTTGATTTGTTTGGGCTGGACAACAGGAACTGATCACTCCTGGTTATTGGCAGTATTCCTTCGAGGGAGTTCATGCAATTAGGCAGCTTCAGTATTTTGGCTACCAGTAGAGGATTTATTACTAGAATTGGTCTGATACTTACTGATCTGGGAGCGGGAAAGCATAGCTTCATTAGCATCTGTAAACATATTTCCCATCAGGCAATGCTTTCCTGTTTTCTGTATCCCAGAGATCAGTGTGGTTCTTATTTTGCAATTTGTGGTCTCCATTCTATATGCTAATGGTGATGCCTCTCTGTCCCATTTCTAATGTAAAGGAGTCTCGGGGATTTTTTTCCCCCTGCCTTTTCATTGCTTTTCCTCTTTTTTCAGATCAGCATTGGTTCAAGGAAAGGCCAGAGAAAGAGGTCTTTCATGAGTCAGACAGGATACTGTATTCTGACTCCAAGAATACTGGAGGGTTACAATGATGACAAGACATATCTAAAAAAAAACCCCAAACCCAAGAAACCCATATGATCCCCTGAGAGCAGACTGCAGAGCAAAATAGATTGGTTGTAATGGACTTTTGTGTGAAAAGAGTGGGGGCGGGGGAATGAGTTGTGAAATAAAGAATAGTGACAGAGGCTTGTGAATAAGGAAGTTGGCATGAAATTTGAGGATGCGGTTCAGTCAAGGTTGAACAATAATCAAATTGACCACATTGATATCAATGAGACTGGGGAGAGGGGTGGGGAATATGTATTAAACAGTGCAGCTGCCTGCGGCCAAACCAAACACAGGAAATGTCGTGGCAAGGAAACGTGGTGCTACTCCAGTGATGTGTCAGTGGTGATAAACAATAAGGAAATGTTTACGCAATGGCAGAAAGTAAGAATGGTGGAAGTTACAAGGAATACAGGCTGTTAAAGAAGATACCACGACTGCTCTTTTGGCTACCATACACATATTTTAGGCCTCGCATCCCCAGCCCTCCTGGACCTGTGATTCCAGTGGCCCTCTACAAATTATTAGGAACTTTGCCAGTGAATGAGCCTTCACACAGTGCACATTCTTAAATGTGTACATGTGTTTACTCTCAGTTAATTGGTAGAACACACAAACCAAGAATTTAATGCTCACCATTCCCAATAAAGCAGACAGACATCGCCCAGTGACCAATTAGGGTCATATCTTGCCTGGGGCTCTGGCTTCTGTACAGTATGGGTAGACAGGAGTTAAGAGTTCTGGCAGCATTGGTCTCAGAGTTAGAGTCCAATGGGCCTCTCATCTGATCCTCAACTATATAGTTAAATGAGAATCCTTATCAATCTCTTAACCAATTTGTTTTACTCAAAGCATAACTATACAGTCATTCTAATCAATCATAACATCTGTTGGGCTAAAACAACATTCCTAGCAACAGCAAAACTTCAATTTCTACTTATTAGCTAAAGCAACTTTTTAAAGAAATTCACACAGACATCCAGTAAGAAACTTGCAGAAATGCAAGGTTCACTTGTCCATTCCCATCAATCTGCAGGCACAGGAATTTCTGTGGGGTGTGTATGTGCTTTTTTTTTGTAAATGTGGATTGCAAGGGTGGGAATGCACCTCCCATGGCCTGCCAAGTAAGTGGGGAAATCAGCTCCACCCTTTCCAGGGCTGGCGGGAGGAAGACTC